TTATAGATGGAAACAAAATGAATGAAATATGAGTCACCTTTAAAATTTCAGTGTGCCTGTCAACTTAATTGCACAACTGAACCACCAAATGCATTCCCTTAATTGAAAGTCTTACAGGTGCCACCCTTCAGCATATGCCATAGTTAATGATCAATTGTTGCCATAAATGATTTAACTTTTGTGTACACATGAGATGACATGCCATAATTCATAGAAATGCCAATGCTTTGAAATAATCACAAATAATGATAAATGTGCTGTCAATTTTTATATAATTACTCTAGATCTATCATCCTACTTTGGTATGTTGAAATGCATTAGGGCATAAAAAATGTGCATCATCCCAGTGATCAATATCTTATTTCAAATGAAAATGTGTTACTGTATAATTATCATGTTATTCTTTCTGACACCTTTCTGTTCTACTCTGCTGTATTTTCAATTTTAAAAGCAAAACTTCTGTGTCTACCTGGATTCAAACTAGTATACTGGTCACAATTAGCCCATGGTTGATATATGTAATTTTAATTTAGATATTAATTAAGGCTTTTAACTCCACGTACATGTTAGGTCATTTAATTTGTTCACTTGAAATAGTCTCTTCTGGCTCACTACATTGTGCCCTAAATAAATCTTACTTGCCTTTAAAACCCTGAATTTATTTATTTTTTTCTCAAATGTGTTTCTTTGGTCTTTCCTTCCTCTGTGGTATTTTGCTTTGCTTTTCCTTTCTTGATTCTGTTTATTTAATCTTGGTGAGTTCATGTTTTCTAGGTTACAGATTGAGGTTAATTAGGAATAGCCAGTGATAATACAATACAAAACTATCTCTCTGACAGGTAAATCAGACTATTTTTGTACCATCAGATACTTCAAGAATTTTCTGATGTCTTCTAGAAAAATACAGAGGGAACATAAACCTGACATCCTGGCCTAATGTGGTAAAGGGGCCACAGGTTGCTGACTTGGCCCTGCTCAGCACCCACACAGATCCTCAAGAGGGAAACCTGGTCATTTGGCTGAAGCACAGATCTGGCTTGCCTTGCCTGTGGCTTCACGTCTTATGTCATACTCTGTCACTGAGGGCACTGGTGGAGACCTGGCGGCTGCCCCTCAGGGATGTTCCCTGTTCTTCCTGCGTAAGCAGTCACTCTTAGAAGTTACATAATCTTGGTTTCTTTTCGAGAAGAAGGAGAAGGAGGAGGAGGAGGAGGAGGAGGAGGAGGAGGAGGAGGAGGAGGAGGAGGAGGAGGAGGAGGAGAAGAAGAAGAAGAAGAAGAAGAAGAAGAAGAAGAAGAAGAAGAAGAAGAAGAAGAAGTTGTTTATTCACTAAAAGACAATATTTTGTAAAGGCTTAAATAAACAGGACAAGAATGAGCCTTGAAGGAAACATAAAGCAAGAGAAAGTGAGACAGCTGAGAACCCTGTAGGATGATTTCCAAGCCTGTGGATGTGGGGACTAGGAGATGTCTCCTGAAACAGCCTGGGCTTGTGCAGTCTGTGGAGAAGCAGCTGTGGCTATTGCAGCAGGCTTTTCTGCAGTTCTCTGACCTCTCTGTGACAATAAATTCTTTTGGTCCAAGGGGATTCTTGTATTTAACTCATAATACCATCTGGGACAGGAAACAGGCAGGTACCACCCTGGGGAGTTCTTCCTTACCGCCCTTCCCTGTCTGCAAGCTTCTATGGCTCATGTTTGTTTGCCTTGTGATTTCTCTAGGAAGAGAAGTCCAAATCTCCCTCCACCCTGGTATTTTCCAAGCCCCTGATGATTAAAACTGAATTCATCATCTGAGCTCTTCCTTCTCTTGCTGTCAACTCCAAATATGAGTTTTAATATAGGCCTTGATGCCAGATGTGGTGGTGCACACATGTAATCCCAGTGGCTCCAGAGGCTGAGGTGGGAGGATCATGAGTTCAAAGCCAGCCTCAGCAAAAACGAGGGGTCTTAACTCAGTGAGAGCCTGTCTCTAAATAAAATACAAAATAAGGCTGGGGATGTGGTCCAGTGCCCTTGAGTTCAATCTCTGGTACAAAAAAAAAAAAAAAAAAAAGGCCATGATGACATCTTCACCTCCTCTTGCTACCTCAGCACTGTTTTCTTAGTTCCAGACTTTCCGTTCATTTTCATGTCCTGTGTCCTGGTCACATGCCGTCCTATCACAGAGCTCTGCCCAAGGCTGAGGAAGTCTTCTAGCTTTTTCCTTGTGAATTCCTATTTTACTTTTTATAAATCTTGGTTGAAACTAGAACCAACATTTATTTAAAAGATGAATGGAGTTCAAGAAACCCTTCCTGTGCTCCCTAGCCAGGGGAACTCCTCTCATCAGGCCATCTGGCTGACATTTGATTGATTATTTGGTTAATATCTTCCTTGTTCACTAGCTCATAAGCTCATTCCCTGCTCATTCCTGTGTGTGCGTGTATTTATACAGGCACATATTCTAACGAACTGATGACTTAGTGCATAGATGAAAACTCATCACAGATATTTGCAATTCCATTGTGAAATTGTCCCATCTGTATATACCAGAAGGAAAACAGTGGTCAAAATGGATATTAGTAACATAAGCAATGGCTTTGCAAGATAGTTTCAAAACTTCTCCTCTAAAATAAAATATAAAACTATATCTATATTAACACATTTAAAGAATTGTTCAAAACCCTTTTCTATATTTTCTCCCATTTAATTCTCAGAACAGCTCTGTCTCCAGGGTAGAATGTCTCACTCCATGTGTGGAGCTCTTCCCAGAGTATCTGTCCTTTATGGTGCAAAACAAGATATTTTCAGTATAATTTTATGATTGAATGAACATTAGCTGCTTACTTAACATCTTATAAAAATGTTACATTTTTCATTCCAGTGAAATGTATAAATTTTGATTTTTTTTATACTGACAGAAGTCAATGTAAAAGCCAGGTGTGGTGGTGCCTGCCTATAATCCCAGCAACTCAGGAGTCTGATACCAGAGGATCACAAGTTCAAGGCCAGCTTCAACAACTTAGAGAAAGCCTGTCTCAAAATAAGAAAGGTGGGCTTTAGCTCAGTGGTACAACACCCCTTAGTTCAGTCCCCAGTACAATTCCCTGTCAAGAAGTCAATGAAAAATTGGGTGTGTTTACCTGTTCTATTAATTTATGCAAGATTTTATGACAGCATTACAAACTAACATACTCCAGTTGCTTTTGTGACATAAGATCGAAACATTATGTTTTCTATCTAGAGGTTTTCACATATCAATATGTTGAGTACCTTAGCCCTGGCAGGCAGATGATGCAGTTCATAAAGACAGAAGTGCTGAAACAGTCAGGTATTTTTAAAGATAAATTTCATCAAAGAAACACAAATATATCAGCGATATTTGTTTCATTCCCCCTAGATGATCAAAGGAAATTCACAAACCAAGAAGGAATATAAACGTTATTTTATAAACACTGAATGTGTCTGTGATACCCTTTTGAAATCATCCAGACTCAAAGCAGTCATGTTCTTTATTCTATCAGTACCGCACATGAAGACAAGACCCTGTTTGCTGTTTTGCTGAAGGCACCTCACTCCCTGCTGCTGCCTGCCTGTCCTCTGCCTGCTGGGTGTTCGGTGCAGTCTATCAAACAGTGTGTAGGGACTGGCAGGATCTCTTAACCCCTAAGCCAAGAACCCTCCATTTGTGTAGTAGCTTCCTAACAGTGAGTGGATACAAGGACCAAGCATTTTAACAGGATGAAAATGTTCATCAACACTAGCAATTAGAGAAATGCAAATCAAAACCACTCTTAAGATTTCATCTCACTTCAGTCAGAATGGCAGCTATTATGACGACAAACAACAACAAATGTTGGTGAGGATGTGGGGAAAAAGGTACACTCATACACTGCTGGTGGGTCTGAAAATTGGTGCAGCCAATATGGAAAGCAGTATGGAGATTTCTTGGAAAATTGGGAATGGAACCACTATTTGACCCAGCTATCCCTCTCCATGGTCTATACCCAAAGGACTTAAAAACAGCATACTACAGGGACACAGCCACATCAATATTTATAGCAGCACAATTCCCAATAGCTAAACTGTGGAATCAACCTAGATGCCCTTCAGTAGATGAATGGATAAAAAAAAATGTGGCATATACACACAATGGAATATTACTCAGCAATAAAAGAGAATAAAATCATGTCATTTGCAGGTAAATGGATGGAGTTAGAGAAGATAATGCTAAGTGAAGTTAGCCAGTCCCCAAAAACCAAATGCCGAATATTATCTTTGATATAAGGAGGCTGATTCATAGTGGGTTAGGGAGCGGGAACATAGGAGGAATAGATGAACTCTAGATAGGGCAGAGGGGTGGGAGGGGAAGGGAGGGGGCATGGGGTTATTAATGATGGTGGAATGTGATGATCATTATTATCCAAAGTATAGGTACAAAGACATGAATTGGTGTGAATATACTGTGTATACAACCAGAGATATGAAAAATTGTGCTCTATATGTGTAATAAGAATTATAATTCATTACACTCTCATGTATAAATAAAAAAAGAAAAAGCACTGCAGACTTTTTATTTCAAAGAATTTGCATTCATAGCTACTGGCTTCTTTATATATATATATATATATCTCCATATATATATTTTTTTCTTTTTTTTTTTAAAGGAAAAGGTCAGGATGACTTGAGAATTCTTGTCCATGACATGTGAAATTAATTATTTACTCTAAAAGTATTTAATTTAAAACTTTTCACACTGATACAAGACCAGTGTGAATACAAAACTAAATTATTCAGAACTTTTATTAACTTTTGGTAGAGAGTTGCAAAAATATTAAGGTGCTAAATAGCTTATAGGAATCATAGGCAATTTCTCAAAGTAGTAATTTTGAGAAATTTATACAGAAGACAGAGAACCATTACAATCTAAAAATATTGTGCCGTGCTTGAGATAAGTAAGCATTGTGCTTTGAATGCATATCTTTAAAAATGATATTGGGGCCTTGGCGCAGGTGGAGAGGTCAGGCTGGAGGGGGCTTCGGCCTCCGGCGTTGGGAAATGGCGGCGGGGGTCAGAATAGAAGACGGTTCCTTGGACATTATCCAGAGTATTGAAGAGGACCCACTTCTGGATGCCCAGCTTCTCCCACATCACTCATTACAAGCTCATTTTAGACCCAGATTCCACCCTCTTCCTACAGTCATCATAGCAAATCTTCTTCTGTTTATCCATGTTGTGTTTGTTATTTTAGCGTTCTTGACAGGTGTGCTTTGTTCTTACCCTGACCCAAACGAGGACAAGTGCCCTGGAAACTACACCAACCCACTGAAAGTCCAGACAGTCATAATCCTAGGAAAAGTCATTTTGTGGATTCTACACTTACTTCTGGAACGCTACATTCAGTATCACCACAGCAAAGTGAGAAACCGTGGCTATAACCAGATCTACCGAGCCACAAGGCATCTGAAGAGCCTCGCCCTGGTGACACACTCCACCGGAAACACGATGCTCCTCCTCATACTGTGCATGCAGCATTCTTTCCCTGAGCCCAGCAGGTTGTACCTTGACCTCATTCTGGCCATCCTGGCCCTGGAACTGCTCTGCTCCCTGACCTGTCTGCTCATTTATGCAGTGAAAATTAGAAAATTTAATAGAGACAAACCACAGCCTGATGTACTTGAAGAAGAAAAAATCTATGCTTACCACAGCAATATTACCTCGGAAACCGGATTAAGGACTATTTCAAGCCTAGAAGAAATTGTTGAAAAGCAAGGAGACATAATAGTGTACTTGAAGCGACACAATGCCCTGTTGAGTAAGCGGCTGTTGGCACTCACTTGCTCAGACCTAGCCTCTCAGCCAAGTAGGACATGAGAGGCTCACAGGCGTGATCATGGCTGAAGAGTTCAGAGCAACCTCAGACTGAAGGACGGCCTGTCCTGCTGCCCTAGGGAACCACAGCCCTTGCTGAAAAACATTGTGTAGCGTGTTGGAAACTTGAACTTGGTTCTCACCTGTGTGGCTGTTTAGTAGATGGGGCTTATGGATCATTTGAAAGGTACTTTCAAAAGGTAGAAGTGCTTTGCTAACTTGAGAAGAATGTCTGTTTTGTACATTTTTAAATAATTGAACTTCTTGGTTTTTCCTAGGATCGAAGGTACAGTTCAATTATCCCATGGCCAACAGTTTTTCTACGTGATATTAGATCCCTCTAATAGCTGGGGATGTAGCTCAGCAGTAGGGCATGTGTCTAGCATGCACAAGCCCCTGGTTCAATCCACAGCAACACCCCCACTGCTCCCCCACCCCCAAAAGCCCTGTGATAATATGGCTATTTGTAAAGTAAAACTGACATAATTTAATTTAAACAGGGGTTTTAAATAAGTTCTTTCTTTTGTGGAGTGGGAAAGTACTGGGGATTAAACTCGGGTACTTTACGAATAGGCTATGTCCCCAGTCTTATTTTATTTTAAATTTTGAGACAGGGTGTTATGAAGTTGCTGAGGCTGGCCTTAAACTTGTAATCCTCCTGCCTTAGCCTCCTAAGGCACTGGTATTACAGGTGTGCACCACCACACCCCACAAGTTCTTCCAACTCTTAAGCTGATGAAAGGAGTCATTATTTCTTATGGTTAATGTTTTTTCTCTGCAGACCCTTATTGTGTATTTTATGTGCTCATGTGATATTGAATAACAATACTCTTTTTTTCACATACTCTTTTTTCATCCCCCCAGGCAAGCTCTCTACCACTGAGCTGCACCCCCAGCCCCCATGCAGCTTTTATAGAGAATTTCTTCACTGTAGGACCAAGGCCTCACTGGGTGATCAACAATACAATTGTTCTGTTCTTCTGAAACAAGATAGGAAAATTACCTGGATCAGTGTGAGCCCAACCAGCAATACCTGTTACCTTGGTAGTACCTTCCATTGGCAAAAGCTGAAAAATTTAAAGGATTTATGTCTTTCACTTTATTTTTGCTCTTCTTCAAGAAGTTGCCATGTATTTCTGTACTAATTATCCTTTCATTGGGTCATTAATTTCAGTATAGAAATAGAACCTTCTTTGATTTTAAATCTGTATAAATAGAAAAAAAGCACTTTATTTAGACTTGGATTATATGTAAAAATTGTGATGGGAATACCTAGTTCTTGATATAAAAAGTATTTTTGTGAGTAAATGGAATTATTTCTCCATTCTTCCTAGCGCACCCCTTTAATTTATCAATTTGCTCTCAGTACCTCTACATGCTGCCTTCGATTTTTTTTGTTGTTGTTGAAGGCTCAATATGGGGGGAGGAGATATTTGTGACTATGCAGTGATTATGTGTAGTCAGTAGATGAATACTGTGACTTGACAGCTATCCATAGCTTTATAGGAATGTTTTGGATGACCAGATAGACGAGGAATGTATTCATTGGATCTGTTACATATGGAGAGCATATGTAACATATGTTTCCTTTAGATACAGCCATTGCTGGGGCATCTAAAATTTTTCTACTAAGATAAATATGATTATGTGTCACCTGCAGGTAAATACAGTTGAATCCTCAAAATAGTGACATTCACAAACTGAAGCCAAATTGTATTTTAAAATTTAGATTCTAAATTCCCAGCCCGGTGTGATGGCCCACGCCTGTAATCCTAGCAGCTCAGGACGCTGAAGCAGAAGGATTGTGAATTCAAAGCTAGCCTCAGCAACTTAGAGTCCTGAGCAACTCAATGAGACCCTGTTTCTAAATAAAATATAAAAAGGGCTGGGGATGTAGCTCAATGGTTAAGCACCCCTGGGTCCAATACCCCCCCCCAAAAAAATTTAAATTTTAAGTGTCCTCCCTCTTCCTTTCCTTTCTTTTTAATAGGTGTCTCAAAGCTATTGCTTTCTCTGGAAAATTGTTTCTACATTTTGGAAGAGCCTATAACCGTTGCATCCAGTTGTTTTCCTTAAAACACCAGTGGTTTTGAGCCAGGCTTGGTGACACACACCCATAATCCCAGGGATTCAGACACCTGAGGCAGGAGGATCACAAGCTAAAGGCCAGACAACTTAGTGAGACCCTTTCTCAAAATAAATAAAAAGGACTGGGTATGTAGCTCAGTGGTAAAGCACCCCAGGTTCCATCCTTAGTATGGGGGGAGGGGGGCAATGGTGTACCCCACTGAACACATTCCCAGCCTTTTTTATTTATTATTTTGGGGCAGGGTCTCATTGTCACCCAGGCAAGGCTTGAGCTTGTTACCTTCTATCTCGATCTCCTAAATTGCTGGGATTACAGGTGCATGTCACTATGCCTAGCTCCCATCAGTAATTTTAAAGATATAATATTTATTTTAAAATGCAGTTTGGATATATTCAGTTTCTGAGATGTACTTGATGAACATGGGTTTACAGGGAAAGGTATGATAAAGTTGGGATGTTCGGGTCTGATATCTGTATAATCACTAACACTTTTCTAAACTCAGTAAGGAACATTTCAAACAGTAAATGAAAGTAAGTCTTAGTAATAGCAGAATGGGAAAATGGACAAAACAATATAAATGTTAGGGATTCTATTCATCGGACTAGTTTTGTGCTAGCATTGTGGATACAAAAAATTAAAACCAGCTTGCAGTTTACATTCTAAAGAAGGTAATGATTTCTAGGCTCTTCTAAATGCAATAATTGCAGAAGCCCTGGATATAGGTGCACAGCTGGGTACAGTGGCACAGGCCTGTAATCCCAGCTACCGGGCAGGCTGAGGCAGGAGAATCACAAGTTGGAGGCCAGTTTCAGCGACTTCTTGATACCTTGTCTCAAAACAGGCTGGGGAATGAAGCTCAGTGGTAGAACACTCCTAAATTCAGTGTCTGGTACTGAAGAAAAGATAACTATAGGAACACCGAGTCAGAGGATACACTTGGGTGGTAGGTTTTAGGAATTCCTGGCAAACTAATAGTAAAGAAGCAAAGCAGATAGCTACAAAATACCACAAGCACATTGTATAGAAGGCGTTGTATAGAACTTGAAACCGAGGGTCTTCAGATCTTGGAGGCCTTGACCATATGCTGAGGAGCTTGCACTTATTATATTGATAATAGGATCCACTGAAAGATTTCAATCAAGGAAACGATGTCACTTTTAGGGGGATCTGATTGTAGTTTGAAATGGAGGAAAGATGGTAGCAAAAAGATATAGCCCTGAACAAGGGCAGGTATAAGAACATTTAATTGTGATTATATATGTGTATATGTAAATATAAAGATGTACATGTGTGATCCAAATGACAATAGCATCATGACATATTATAAAGTTAAAAGCTTGTTATTTTTTAATGGAGACATTGAAAAATATAAAGAAAAGCAATGATTCAAAATTCTACCAAGTATTTATACCTATTTGGACTGCTGTTTTTTTCCTACCCTAATCAATTGTGGCTGTTGTCATTCTGTAATCCCTGCCCATTGGATGGAATATTGTTTCAAATTGCATTTCTTCAAACACTAATGAAACTGATGATTTTTGCCAGATTCTTTGGCCTTTTATAAATCTTCTATGATGTGTAAAAAAAAAAAAATGATATTGGGATATCTCCTCTGGAGAAATGCAAATGTTCTTGTTTGGTGCATTCACAATAAATTTGTCAGTTGACACATGTATAAAAATAAAACCCAATTTTACAGGATCATAGCAAGAACTTGCTCTTAAAAAGAACTTGCTCTTAAACTAATAAAACATTTGGACAATTCTCATTAAATTCAGAAACAAGATGATGGTGCCAATTAGCACCAGTAATAATGTAATGTTTTTTTCAAAGGTTTTTTAAAAAAAGGAGATTAAAATGAAAAAGACAGACCACTAGCAATATTTATCTTTTGCACTGCAACTTGGTTATTGTCAAATAATGTGAACATTTATATAGAAAACTGGAGCAGTTCTACTGCAAAACTACTCCAAACAATAAGACAATTCAGTAAGGAAAATGGCAAATGATACTATTAGAAATGAATGCATTTTAGTACAAATACTAAATACTAAATTTCTATCAGAAACGAGGAATTAAAGATTGTTGGTAGGACTTTAAATTGGTGCAGCCACTCTGGAAAGCAGTATGGAGGTTCCTCAAAAAACTAGCAATGGAACTGAAGCCAGATTTAAAGATAGGCAGTCAGTGTAGTTAGGTAAAATCGGGTCTAATATGGAGTAAAATCGAAAATGAAGAAGAATGAAGTCGGGAAAAGCAGAACAACTCTTGGAATGTTAATGTCCCCAAGGCCCAGAGCCCATCCCAAAGGAGTGTCAATGAAACAGCTGCCACAAACTTGAAGATGCTGACCCAGAAGTCCTTCCTGCCCAGATTACTCCTTTGGCCCACCTGTGCCCCACCCTTAACAGAACAAAGGACAGGAATGTGACAGGAATGCGGGAAAGCTAAAAGAAGACCTTAGCTATAAAAAGGGGAGATAACTACCCTTCCACGGATTCCACCTCTTGGGTCCCCTTCTTCCTCCGGGAGAAGTCTTTTCTGCTGTCCTTTAATAAAGCCTATACTTTCCACTCTAACCTTGCCTCGGTGTGTTTCTCTGGGGTTATACTTCAACATTGGGGAAGCAAGGACTCGTCACTGGTCAAGGATAAGAGAACCACCATTTAACCCAGTATCCCACACCTCAGTGTACACCCAAAGGACTTAAAATCAGCAGACTATAGTGACGGGGCCACCTCAATGTTTATAGCAACTCAGTTCACAATAGCTAAGCTATTGAACCAACCTGATGCCCTTCAACAGATGAATGGATAAAGAAAAAGTGGTCTATATGCAAATGAAATAGTACTCAACCATAGAGAAGAATGGCTTTATGACATTTGCTGGTAAATAGATGAAACTGAAGAATATAATACTAAGTGAAATAAGCCAATCCCCCCAAAACCAAAGCTGGAATGGTCTCTCTGATATGTGGATGCTAACATAAATCAAGGGAAAAGAAAGGGAAAAATAGAAGTTCAATGGATTAGACAAAGAGGAATAAAGGGAAGGGAGGGAAGACAGAACAGGAAAGACAGTGAAATGAATCTAACATGTCTTTCCTATGTACATATAAATACAACACAGTGAATGTCCACAGCATGCACATCCACAAGACTGCATCCTAATTAGAAGAAGATACACTCCATGTTTGTATAAATATGTCAAAATTGACTCTACTGTCATGTATAACTAAAAAAGAACAAATTAGAAAAATACAGGTATCATTGACACTAGGCACAACATATATAGATATAAACATGATGTAGTAACAGGTATAACTCCCTTTATGTTCATATTAGTCAACAAAAACTAGAGAAACTATTCAACAGAAATACTAGCAAAATATATGATGAAATTTCACAGAAAAAAGATAAACACATTTCTTAAGTTCTTGTGAATATGCAAATCAAAACACAGTAACCCCATCTTATCT